GAGGTGAAAAAACGAAAAAAAAAAAAACATAAAAAACAAAAAAAAAAACAAAAAAACAAAAAAACAAACACCAACACAAGATAAAAGCAAAAAGATAAATTTAGAATTGTGTATATAAAAACAAAGAAATAATAATTTAAAAGAACAAAGGAAGAAGAAAAATAAACGTAATAATACACAAACACATAAAAAATATAGAGAAGCGAGAATGATGATGCATCAGAGTCATGGAAGTATGTGGAAGAAAACACTGCTCGAGCTTAATGAAGCACAAGCTTCTATTCCTGATGGTCAGTTTCGTCATTTGCATCATCAATTTGCACGCCACTTTTGCGGCTCAGATAAAAAAAATGTTGGAAAATCAAATTGAAATATCAAGTTGCAGTTACTCATTTAACTGAGAGAATAGAATACATTATTCATCTCCCTATTAGCAGAGATAAGTGTTCTAGCGTCTATTGCATCATATATATATGGGAATGGGATTTGTTAAAAGAAACCCTAGGGAATAAAATGGTTTCGCCGCTGGGCTTTACTGGCTTCCGCAGAGTTTCATAAAATTGTAAGTGGGCCACATTGATGTTAGCCCAACATGACACATTCTCGCAATGGTAGGCGACCACTCCAAAATGCATTTTGCCTTTTAAATAGGGAAATTTACATCATATCAAACTTTTATGGAGATAGTATTTTCAATAATTGATTTCTCACATTGATCCCAAAGATCTAATTCCTGTCGTAACAGACGCAATTAATACAATTTTTGGCAGACAGATTTTCCAAAAATCATTTCAAATGTGCAACTTACCATTAATAGCTTTGTATATAGATTTTTCATACCAAATTTATTTTGTAAACTTACTTACTGTTGTTTATATGACTAATATAGACTCAAAATTTGTTTTAGAATCTCCCACTTTTTCAAATTGAATTATGATCAAAATGATTAATATATCAATTTTTTATACATATATATTAAATTTTATTTATAATATATCAATTTAATCATGTCTTGATGAACTTTGATTTGGCATTTATTTTAACATATAAAATAATTAAATAATTTTATTTATTCTTATAATTAAAATTAAACTATCTATTAATATTATTTAAACTAATTTAACTATAAAGTAGTTATCTGATATAAATTAGAAAACATATATAATATAAGATGGTAAGTCGTGTAAGTGACGGTGCCAATTTAAATATAAAGAATAATATATTTTTCAAAAAATTAATTTAAAACTAAAATAATATTTATTGTTATTATTATTTAATTTGAAATATAATTCACTAGTGTGTATCCCGTGTGATGCATGGAGGAGTTCACATTTTAAACCCTTTTTTAGACTTTATTTTAAATATAATTATTTATATTTTATATTTTTCACATCTCGTCTATTATGACAATAAAAAATACAAACAATGAAAAATATATATTATTAAACACTTTTTTTTATACAATATTTTTTATTTAAGGAATATTATTAAACCTTACAGTTTTGATTTTATTGTTTTTAAAAAAATCAATTATCCAATATATGATTGTTAACGTACAAAAAATAATGAAAAGAATCCAGACTTTAAGATAAAACTATTTTTTAGTATTTTACAAATAAAACTCATCCAAATTTTTTTATTTTCAAAAAAGTTCAGCAAGTTTGTTAATAAGTTAAATCAAGTTATACAAACGATTAAATAGTTAAAATATTATATTAACTATATTTTAAGAAATCCGATTATAAAAATGTGGATACAAAAATATTATACTAATTAGTTTGTGAGGATTGTGATTATATGGAAGTTAAGATAAAATAAAATATAATCAAAAAATATTTCGTGCTTTTTTCTTTAAATGTTTGAATTTAAAATTCTAATAACCAATTTTAGATTATATCACATAAGAAAAAAAATAAATAATAATATTTATGAATATGTTTAAAAATTTAATTTTGAATTTCAAATAGAGTAGAAGACGGAATAATTAAAATATGTTTTCAAAAAGTTTTTAAAGTGTTTAATATTCTGGTAAGTATAACCGCAAGAATAATCTTACTATTTTAATTTCAAAATTTTGGAAGTTTGTTAATCAGATAAATTCGGTTAGACAAAAGATTAATTAGTTAAAATATTATATTAATTATATTTTAAAAATTCCAGTTAGATAATTGTAATTGTACTAATTAGTTTGTTAGGAATGTGATTATATGGAAGTTAAGACAAAAATGAAATGTACCAAAAACTTGTGATCTTTTCCTATAAATGTTTGAATTTAAAAATATAATAACCAAATTTAGATTATATCACGTATGAAAAAATATAAATAATAAACATTTATTAAAGAGATAAATCAGTAATATTTATCACTTAGATAATAAATAATAAACACTTACATGCAAGAAAAAATAAACAATAATATATTTAAAAATAAAACTTAGAATTTCAAATAAAGTAAAAGGAGGGATAACTCATTTTTTTAAAAAAGTTTCTAAATATTTAATATATTGATAAATATCTCCGTAAGAATAATCATACCATTTTAATTTCAAAAAAAAGTTTGTAAGAGAGATAATTCCGGTAAGATAAATGATTAATTAGTTAAGATATTATATTAATTATATCATAAAAAAATCAGTTAGATAATGTAAATAAAAAATATAATATTAATTAGTTTGTTAGAAATGTGATTATATGAAAATCAAGGGAAAATAAAATTCTCTCAAAAAATCTGCTTGTGATCTTTTCCTTTAAATGTTTGAATTTAAAAATCTAATAACCAAATTTAAATTATATCATGTAAGGAAAAAAATAAATAATAAGATTCTTAAAGAGATAAATCAATAATATTTATCACTTAGATTGTAGATAATAAATATTTACATGTAAAAAAAATAATAAATTATTTAAAAGTATAACTCAGAATTTCAAATAAAGTAAAAGGAGGGATAACTCATTTTTTTTTAAAAAAAATTTTCTAAATGTTTAATATATTGATAAGTATCTCCATAAGAATAATCATACCATTTTAATTTAAAATAAATTGGCCAGTTTGTTAGAGAGATAAATCTGGTTAGATAAATGATTAATTAGTTAAGATATTATTAATTGTATCATAAAAAAATAGGTTAGATAATGTAGATAAAAAATAGGAAAAACTACACTTAATCCACCTAACTATAGGGTTTTTTGCACTTTACCCACTCAACTTTTTTTCTTGACACTTTGCTCATACAACTTTGCGAAAAATTGCACTTAACCAATTTTCAGTCATCGTCAAGAATTTCTGAGGGCAAAATTGACTTTTCAATCATTCATCTAGTTAATTGTAATTTTAAAAATTATACTTTACCCACCTACCTATACGTTTTTGTGTACTTTACCCACTCAACTTTTTTATTATTTACACTTTGCCCATAGAAACGGCCGGATGGTGACCGGAAATTGGTTAAGTGCAATTTTTTAGAATGTTATATGGGCAAAGTGTCACAAAAAAAAGTTGAGTGGTAAAGTGCAAAAAACCTTATAATTAAGTGGGGTAAGTGTAGTTTTCCCTAAAAAATATAATATTAATTAGTTTGTTAGGAATGTGATTATATAAAAATCAAGATAAAATTAAATTTACCCAAAAAAATTATTTAGGATCTTTTTCTTTAAATGTTTGAATTTAAAAAATTAATACCGAATTTCGATTATATCACATAAGGAAAAAGTAAATAATAAATATTTATTAATATATTAAAATATGTAATTTTGAATTTCATATAAAGTAAAAGGTATGATAATTCAAATTTATCTTTAAAAGAAAAGCTATGACAAAATTTATTGATTCTCTTTCAAACATATTAAAAAAAAAAAAGGAACTAAAATCGGATTGCATTCACATCCAAATTCAAAAGATTAAAGTTAATCCGCACAATTTAATTGGCATATGCGGGAATTTAAAAAAAAATCAAAAAAATTTACCAAAAATGGTAAAAAATGAAAAAAAAAGCAGGAAAAGATTTTCTACTTTCGGATTTTTTTTCCTATTTTTTCTTAAATGTATTATACAGTAATAGATTGTATTAGGGGTGAGCATGGGTCAGTACGGTTCGGAGATTTATCAATCTCCGAACCGTACCAAAGTTCGGAGATCAGTAAAATTCGATCTCCAGAACCGTACCAAAAAATCGGTTCGGTCCGGTTCGGAGATTTTTATTTTTCGGTTCGGTTCGGTTCGGTTTTCGGGACTATCCAAACGATTCAGTTCGATTTGGATATTCAGAGATTTCTTATCATTTTTTAAAAAAATTTGAATGACCACGTAGTTATATTTTATTTTTTATATGTTTGTTTTTAAAAAAATTCAACATTCATCAATACTTCATCATACTAAAGATTTTATTTTTAAATCAACTTTAGAAGGAACCCTAAGTTTTAGTTAAGACTAAATTTAACTAACATTGAAAATTTAAAATTAAAAAATAATATAATAAAGTTTTATATTAAAGTAATATTTATTTAACCTTCCATACCATGTTAGTTATAAAATAATTTAAGGCTAAGTATCGACAACTCTAAGTAAAGCTTAAGTATTTTTTTCTTAAAAATCTTTAACCTTTCATTCGATTTTAATTTTTTTTAAGCAGGAGAAATTCAATTGTAAGTATTACTAAACATGAAATGTAGGTGAATTTTAATTGTTATTACTATATTTTATTTGCATTTTAAAAATTTTCAAATTATATAGGATCAAAGTTGACATAAAATATATTAATAACACGCATCTATTTTTATAATTCGGTTATTAATTTTGGTTCTTCGGTTCGGTACGGTTCGATTCAGTTCTCGGTACGGATATTTATGAAATCTCCAGAATCGTACCAATTATTTTTTTTGGTTCGGTTCGGAGAAAGTCAAACGGTCAACATATATTTTTCAGTTCGGAGTTATTTCAGTTCGATTTTCGAAATGGTTCGGAATTCTCCGAGTCCCATGCTCAGCCCTAGATTGTATTTGTATCATCACCACCCAACAAATTTTATGGGCTTCATCAGACCAAACAGTCTCTATACACTTTTGCTCTCATCATCTCCGTACTCTCCCCCGCAATTAAAACCCAAAACACAATTTCATCTTTTCCCCTTTTAATTTCCATTTTTTATCGTTTTCTCAAATAAATAAATGTCACCCACATTTTCTCCCTCCTCCCTCTATGCCACCCTCATCATTTTTATTTTCGTGCCACAAGGTACCAAATAAATCTACTAATTTCCCTCTTCTTTATTTTATTTTATTTTTTTATTTTTTTGGCAATTTTAGAACTTATATAAATTTTCCTTAATTTTTTTAATACTAATTAGGCGGGTAAGGGACTACATGCACTTTAGTAAACAGATGCGACTACACCGTGTGGCCAGCGATACTCTCCAGCGCCGGCAGCTCCGACTTGGGCTCCACCGGTTTCCAACTTGATACCGGTTCGACCCGCTCCTTCCTGGCACAATCCTCCTGGTCGGGCCGGTTCTGGGCCCGTACCGGCTGCTCCTTCGACCCCACCACCGGCCAGGGCTCCTGCGTCACCGGCGACTGCGGCTCCAACCGGATCGATTGCGACGGCGCCGGCGCCGCGCCGCTGGCAACCCTCGTCAAGTTCATGATCGGCTCCGGCGGCGCCCAGGACTTCTACGACGTCAGCCTCGTTGATGGGTACAACCTGCCGGTGATGGTCGAGGCATCTGGCGGGTAGGGCGCGTGCGGATCGACCGGGTGCGCGGCGGATCTGAACCGGATCTGCCCGAAGGAGTTGAGGGCGGGGGGCGTGAGGGCTTGCCGGAGCGCGTGCGAGGCGTTCAGGAGAGATGAGTACTGCTGCAGCGGCGCGTACGGATTGCCGGCGAGCTGCCGATCGTCGGTGTACTCGGAGGTTTTCAAGAACGCTTGCCCGAGGTCGTACAACTACGCGTACGATGATGCCACGAGTACGTTTACGTGTACGGCGGCGGATTATACGATTACCTTCTGTCCTTCACTCGCAAGGTACTAGAAAGAGTACTCTATTTTTTTTTTATTTGGAAAAAATGAATATAATAATCACTTTTATTTACAGTATATTTCACCTTATAGTGCACGTTTATGATGTGTTTATTTATAAATTATTTTAACTCATACTCATTTTATACTTAAAATCTAATTCAATTGTAATTCAATGTCACTGTTTTCAATATTATCAATAAAATTAAATAATATCAATCAGTTATTCTTACACACCATATCAACTTTAATTCACTATTCATTCACCCACATAAATCTAACTAAACACCACTACACATTATTTCTCTCACACTTTTATATTAAATCAACTTACATATTATACTTTTACATTAAATAAACTTAAAATATATTATTTTAAATATTATTTTAATATAAAATTTAAAATTACACTAACAACTACTCATTGTAACTTTTTCAAAATTAACCTTGATTAAGAAGAAAAAGTTTACTTTTGAGCGGATATATTTGTATCGAAGCACGCCTTCAATCTTTACCTAAGAGTTACTCGAGCTTATCTCGTAATGCAAAGGATTTAATTTTACAACTTAAAATTTCCTCTTTTTATTGATTATATTGGTTTATATATTTATATCATCTTTTAATTGTGGTGAATATATAAAATCATTTTATCTCAGAATTCATGCAAAACTTTCATATCTAATAATACAATAGACTTTTGATTTAATGTGACAGAAAATTTAGTTAGGTTGGTTATAGTTAGTTAGGCATATCTTTTTGATATATTTGTATATTATATATTCATATCATGTCAAACTTTGTAAAGTTACACAAATAGAAGTCTAATCATTAGACAGCATAACTAAGAATTAAGACAGTATGTGTCAAAGAAAATAACATTTTCTTTTAATTTCTTTTAGAGAGCTAGATCTATTTCAATTATGGGACAATTCAAATTTTCTTCATTCATTTCAATTTGCAGCCACAAATCATCAAGAGATTATTCATCACCTAACACAAACGGATTCCCACCACAAACAGCAGCTGCCAACACGGCTGACGGTTCAAATTCCGAACAATCACGAGACGGTTACTACCAGCCAGCCGGATGGCCGCCAAATTTTGTCATAAGTGGCACATTACATTTTGAATTAAACCCATATTTCATTATTGGTGTAGCTACAATAATCTTCTCATTTCTTCAGAGATAGGTAATAATGATTGTCTGGTTCCAATTCCAGTATTAAAACTTCACTGTCACATATATACCAATTTGTCTCATATATTGCAAAGCAAAGTTTTGTATAGAGATGATGAATTCCATATAATAACTGACTCCTGATTTTTATTTTATTTTATTTAAATAAGTTTGTTTATTGAAAAAGGAAGCAATTGCTTCATGATGAATTCTTTTGTTGAATAACAAGCTTGGTAGTTATGTGATTCTTCTGGACTTTAACTAAAAAATAAACATGATCCATTTATATTTTGTGCCCCAAGGGCCTAACACATTTTCATAATCAAGGGTGATTAAGATATATAATTAATGCAGATAATCATGAATCCCACATTTTTTACATAGCTCATCTTTAAATAAAACCCACTGGGATTTAAATAAATAAATCAAGTTGAGCATCACGGGAGCCCCCAAACCTCGTCACGAATTTGAAGCGAACATATCACCTATAAAACCCTCCCCCAAAAGTACTCTCCAACACCACCACAAAGCCCACAAAAATAAGAAAAAGTGAAAATAAAACATGAGTAATGTTGGATCAGCTCACAACGTGACCGTTTTAGGCTCTGGAGAGTCTACAGTGGTCCTCGGCCACGGCTTCGGGACTAACCAGTCTGTGTGGAGGCATCGTGTCCCTCACCTTGTGGACGAGTACCGAGTCTTACTCTACGACGACATGGGGGCCCACACCACCGACCCCAATGCCTTTGATTTCCAACGCTACTCCACCGTGGACGGCTTCGCGGATGATCTCATCTCCATTTTGGAGGAATTCAAAGTCGAGAGATGCATTTTCGTCGGCCACTCCCTTTCCGCACTTGCCGCTGCCTTAGCCTCGGTTTCCAAACCCCATCTTTTTGGTAAGCTCGTCATGATCAACACTTCTCCAAGGTAATTATTAATTAAAAGAACTTTGGATATACTACCTCCTATTTTTATTAAATGTGATTTTGGCTTTATCAACAAAACGTATCTTTTGTACATATTTTTTCATTATTACCCTAATCTAGTTAATAAATACACTACGTCTTTTCATATTCACTCTTCATCTTTTCTCAAAACATCCATCTCTACTTCGTTAATGAGGGTTATTATTGGCAAAAAAAAATCTTAATTATTGTGCAACTTCAATTGACACTTATTAAACATAGGAGGGAGTATCATTTATTTATTATTGTTGTTTTTCTATATATAGGCTGACTAACACGGATGATTACCCGGGAGGGATGGAGCCGGAAGCAGTGGAGCAGCTAGTGGCTGCCGTGAAAGAGGATAGCGAGTCATTCTACAAGAGTTTCGGGCCGATGGCAGTGGGCGGGGGGCTCGAATCTGCCGCGGTGCAGGAGTTCAATATGGGCATCTCAAGCATGGGTAAAAATATTCTCCTCCATTTGATCGAATTGACGAGCGTCCTCGACATGAGGGCGTGCCTCCGCCAGGTCACGGTCCCCTGCCACGTCATCCAGAGTTCCAAGGACATGCTGGTGCCGGTGGCGGTGGCAGAGTACATTAGCCGGAGTGTTGGGGGGAAATCGGTGCTGGAGATGTTGCCGATCCAAGGCCACATTCCGCACCTCAGCTCGCCGGAGGTCACCAACCCGGTGTTGCTTCGCCATATAAAAGAGGACATCGAGGGGTGAGGCAGTGACAAGCTAGGGATGCGCTACAGTTGGTCGTTTTATGTACTTGTGTTGGTCGTTTTCTTATTTTGTGTCGAGTTGTTAGAGCAGAGGGGCATAATAGATCGATATGAACATCACGAGCTGTCCCCTAATAAAATCAAATCAGCTGTTGCGGATACCTTCTTCCCGTCTATCATTTGATAGTAATTTTGTTAATGGTTGTAACATTACATTTGTCCTATGGCAGCGTTCCTTTGAATGTGTTCACGGGTACAAATCAATTAGTCAACTAAGTATACCCTACTTGCATTTTCATCCTTTATTTGTTTCGTGTTTACTTTAGATACACTATCAAATTTTTTTTTTTCACATTTTTGTCCAAATCAAGGTTCAGATGCTCATATTTGCCCAAAAAGCTGATGTGGCGCCCAATCGAATCTCATTGTCTATTTTCTGAGGTGATGTGGCACTCACAGTCCCAAGTGTACATGCATTCGTGGACGAAATTGCAACATAAACCCACAAAATAAATAAATAATTAATAAAAAAAACCAAATATTCTCCTCCTTAAAGCTGTCGTTGCCCTAATTCTCATTCTCCAACTCCTCCACACCGCTGCGGGCTGAGAACATCGCCACCAGGCCAGAGACCCATCTTCCCTTCTCGTGCCTCTTGAGTGCGTGCGCTTCCCGCGCCAATCATGGGCTGGGGGAATGTTTTGTTGTTGGAATCTAATTAATTGTACGATGGGCAACAGAAACAATCTAAGTAACTAAGAAGCAAAATATTCTTATCAAGGATTAAATGTCATGTAGTCCACTAACTCTGAAAGTGTAAAATGATTTGAGAGATAGAGAGATTGTGATGGTGTTACGTGATGATGGGGGACAAATTGTCATTCTACCTCTTCCAAAGCTACAACTCACAAATATTTATCGTAAGCAAGGGATAATTCTAGAAAACTAAGTCGGTTGTTTAAGGTAGTTTATGCCAACTAATTTCTACTAAATTCTAGAGCTCCTACTAAATTCTACAATATTTATAGTAAGTAAGGGATAATTCTAGAAAACTAAGTCGGTTATTTAAGGTAGTTTGTGACAACTAAATTCTACTAAATTCTAGAGCTCCTACTAAATTCTAGAATGAGCATCAATTTCAACACTCTCCTTTAATGCTTATTTGGATAAATCCAAACTTATCGCGCAATGTCTCAAATGTTGATCTTGGTAGTGGTTTCGTGAACATATCCGCTAGTTGATCTTCTGTGGCAATATATTTGAGCTCTTTGCTTGTCATTAGTTACTTCACGTAGAAAATGATATTTGATAGCAATGTGTTTTGTCCTGTCGTGATGTACTGGATTTTTTGCCCTTGCTAGTTGATCTTCTGTCGCAGTATATCTCTGTTGGACTTTCTTGGTGTTCTCCCATGTATCCAAGAATTCGCCTTAGCCAAATAGCTTGACTTGTCGTTAGTGCATCTGCAACGTACTCAGCCTCTGCAGAAGATTGCTCCACACAGTCTTGCTTTTTAGATGACCGTGAGAAAATTCCTGAGCCAAGTGAAACTGTATAGCCTAAGGTTTTTTTCATGTCGTCAGCTGATCCAGTCTAGTCACTGTCCGTATAGCCTATCAGTATTGAGTCCTCATTATATTGGTACTGGATTCCGTAGTTTTTAGTCCCCTACAAATATCGCAGCATTCTTTTTGCGGCTTCATAGTGAACTTGACTCGGACTTTGCATCAACCTAAACAGTAGACTTATCGCGTACAAGATATTCTGTTACGGTATACTATAAAAGCTCGGCTTTCAATTTCTGACAATACCATTTTGAATGAGAATTATGTTTTAGTTAAGTATTTGTGTTTGCAGTTTATTCATTTATGTCGGCATAAGTTTCTTTATTTTACATTGTACATAATATGGTTCGATGTATCGAACAAGAAGATCATATTATCAGTTCCTTGTAAAATATAAAATGACTCACAACCTAGTCAAAGTTGAACTATCTGTTGTGAGAGGCTGTAGTGTAATTTTCATTTAGTTGATTTTTAGATGACGAATTACACTAGTACATCTTGGGTGCACTGAAATGACCTACAAAGCATAAGATTATTTTACACTGACCAAGTAAATAATCTAGACCTAAAAAATTAATGCGTTCTCTTAACCTGTAAGACAATAAGTGGGCATATATACTCAGCACTTATTTATTTGATTTACCAAGGGTGATACATATTTTGATTAAGTTGACATACTTGGTATTTTGGTAAATAATGTTGTTTGCATTATGTGCCGGTAAAATTGTTTACAGTCACTATATTCTAGTCTGCTGGATTGATGACGTCTCCGAAATGAGCTGAATAATGTTTATTATATTAAGCCCTGTAGACAGATTAATTTTCGACATAATAATTACGAACTGAGTGGTACTAACGTCGGATAGAGAAATTAATTGATTAAATTTTGAGTAATTTAATTAATTAATTAATGTTATATCTTAAAAATAGAGAGGTAATTCAATCAATTAAATTAACGGGAACGAAATATTAATACTTCGGAGCTAAATGAAATATTACTCTAGTGGAATGTTTTATTAATTAATCAAATAAGAAATAGATAAAAGTCATAGGTCTTCTAGAATGTTAACACAAGTTGAAAGACATAAGGTCTTCTAGAATGTTAGCAAGCTGGAAGACATAAGGTCTTCTAGAATGTTAACAAGTTGAAAGACATAAGGTCTTCTAGATGTTAACAAATTAAAAGACATAAGGTCGTCTATTCCTATTTAGAAAAGTTCATATTTAGCACCTCCTCAGGGTCTCTATTGTAGCCTATAAGTACACCAAGTCCCACACCTCCTAGACATACAAGATCTCATTTTTAGTCTTCAATAGAGAGGAAAAAATCAAATGTTATATATTAGGAGGTTTTGGGGAGTTTCGTTTAGTCGCACCACCAAAACTACTCGAATTAGGTGAGAGGTGATAAATCAGAAGATCGTGAGGTATAGTGTTTTGAGTTCCCAGCGAATTTATTTATCACCGAGAACAACCACGAGCAGCACTAGACCACTCGTGATGGTTCCCATCGATGTATCAGCTCCCAGCCAACGACCTACTCGACCCATACCCAGTGATGCCTGGTCGATTGCGCACATCCCGACGACACCAATGCAGACTCGCTAGACCCGCACAGTGACGCGCAAACCTGCGAGAATCTCGCAGTTCCCTGATGATCTGCATTCCAGTGCCCAACGCGTACGCGACACCCGCTCCTCAGTGCCCAGCGCGCATGCTCTCAGTGCCCAACGCGCATACACGCCCTCAGCAGCCGATGCGCATCCCGTGCGCGGACAACGCCGGATGCACAGAGACCCGTGCAATCCCAGTAGACCCGCACACGAGCAGCACTCGGACCAAAAGTGACCCGACAATCCTGAGGCCCGATTCGATAATCCTGACGATAGTCCGGCTGCCCAACACACTCTGAGGTTAGCCATGTTGGGTTCGGTGATGATCTTGTTATGTACAAGTCACAAATTCAATAGCAACAATAAACCTATGCGCAACGGATCTAGAAGTTTAGAGTTGAGCACTTAGCTCCGGTCCATTTTCACTTTCATGTCTGCCCGGCCGGCCCTTTGACTGAGACATGGTCGCCCAAAGAAATTATCCCGAGGATCTCTCGGCTTAAAATTCGCATACTCTGAGACGTTGTAAATTACCGTTGTAGGAAATCGTCTGATCTCAAAATCAGTTGGGCAGCCGAATTCTTCCAAATATTTTTATCTTCCAAATAAATAACATTGAAAAAAAAAAATCGAAGTCTGATCAAAATATTTTTGAATGTTTGAATGAAATAGTCCATTTTTTATAGGAATATTTACAATCTCATTGTGTATTTTGGTCGAACATATGCTCAATTACTTCAGTACGTACTTTCATGTAAAATATGTTGATTTCAAAAAGAAATTTAGCATCTCGAGAGAAGTACATGTAGTTAAGATTTTGGAATATCAACTTTTATTTAGAAATGAAATTCATTCCCATCCCGTGTGGCAATGCCTCCATGGGGTAGGTACCAATTTGTCTATATGGACATAGTAATGAATCAATTTATACAATGATAAGAAAATCAACAATTTAATGATGCGCTAGGTTATTTTACAAAGATACGCATGAACTGTTAGCAGAAATACTTTATAAAGATCATACAGTTATGAAGTTTGATTATATGTTTGGCTAGAATATTTATAAGTGTTTGATAAAGTAGACGTTTTGTCAAATGAATTTAGAAGAATTTGGCAATACTATTGATGTATTGGGTTCCAACGAGTATGAACGTTTCATATGAAAACGTCAAAATCAAAATAAAAGAATATCACTCTTTAATCATCTAATATAATTAAAAAAAATAACTAATGCATCTATAATATACATTAGGTTTTTATTTAGTTATTTTTTTTCTATTAGGGACCATATTTTTGTTGGGATTATAATATGTTATTTCATTCTTTTTATATTAGTACATCATTATATATATATTTTTTAAAATCATTACATTAATTTTTAAAATAAAAATATTAGAAGCTCATTTGTTCTATATTTTACTTCGTTCCTGCAATGATATGCTTGATAAATTAATTTATTATTTTAATAAACTTAATCGGCAAAAACATTAACCACTACATGCGATGCACGTGAACCTCACTAGTTAATAAAATATGTTTACGAATCCCATCACTCATAAACCTGCACGTGATTTGAGGACGAAAAAACAGAAATTGAGGACGAAAGAACAGAAAATGATTAGTCAATCAAACGCCTACAAAATCGTTTTAGTCGACGTGCCCATTTTTTGCAAAAAACAATGAAATATGGCCAAGTGGCAATTTATTTGCTATCTTCACACAATATTTTCTATAGGAAAAATCAACATAAAAATCTAAATTAGAAATATTAATAAATTTAATAAAACACAAATAATTATTAAAGAAAATATTTTAATATTATGAGTAATCCACCAAGAGTCTCAAAACAAATAGGAACACTTATAGAAATAATAAAGAAAACTCAGTTAGAAACATTAGAAAAATTAGAAGAAATAAAAGGATCAGTAAAGGAATTACAAGATTTAGTACAAAAAGAAAAAATACAGAAAAAAATATTTAAACCGATTCAAATAGAACCGCCAACAAGTTCCAATGAATGACATAGATAGATTAACCCAATTATTAGAAAAATGTAATATTGAAGAAACTGGAATGACAAAAATAGATGATGAGGATAAACAAGGAAAAATCTATGGAATAGATAGTGAAGATGAAGATGAACCAACATTTAATATGACTGATCAAAAACCTCATACAACACTGCCATTATCACCAAAACTACCTAGAATAAATAATAATGAAACTTCTAGTTCAAAGAATAATTACATAGAAAGAAGTTTTAGAGATTTTATATACATAAATGATTATAGGTATCATCAAGAAAAAATTGAGAAAAATATACCACCAGCCTATCTAAGAAAAGAAAGAAATATATCTAATGGAATATTAAATATAGATTGTGCAACCAATGTATAAGATTTAATAATCACTTGGACTAATTAATTAAAAGTACTAGTTCAAACTAATGATTCAATGATAAATGGAATGACATAAACAGGTTTTCTTAATTATATAAGATATAAAACATCCGGAATATTATTTGACTATCTTGAAAATACTCGAATTTTATCAAATCTTGAAGCCAGTGGTTTAGAGACACGACCAAGTTTACTACAAACAAAATGGCGCCATTGCCGGGAAGGCGAGTAGGACGCCAAGTTTACTATGTAGTTGTCGTTTTTTTACGTGTTTCGCTTGCTTTTTGTGACCCTTACTTAATTTTGCGTGTTTCTCTTGTTTATTTCCTTATTTGCGATTTCTCTTTCTTTTTAGTATGTGTGTTCTTGTAAATATCATGTCGTGCTAGTTGTTTTTCTTTTCTTTGCCCCGTGTGCCTTTGGGTTGTTTTGTTGTTCTTGTACGAGGTATTTCGCTTGAGGAGCTCCAATGGATCCATATGGCTATTCTTATACTGCAAGCTCATCTCGTGGGTACCTCGACAATTACCAAGAGGAGATGTACTCATATGGAGGGCCGCCCCATTCGTATCCGATCTAAATCATTATAGCTGTGACGGATACTCTTCATTCCAAGGGTATGGCTCGAGCCATTCTTACCCAGTATCTCGAGGCGAAGTGATTACATTCCAGGTCACAACGAGACGCCTCACTACTATCCTTGGCCTCCCGATTATTGTGATGCAACACCTCCACTCGAGCCGATTCGAGAAGCTTCACCAAGCCGTTTAGACGAGATTATGGAGAAATTGGAGAAGTGCAATCAATCCCTTCGTGCTTCGATGGCTCCCATGTCCGAAAAAGAAGAAACCGTGTCTTACGCTCTATCTTCTCTATCTTATGATCACCAATCGGTTGGCCAACCTTGTACATCAAAGATCGAAGCTTCATTTCCAACAATGGTTGAGCCTACCGAACGTCCCTGAGAGGTCTTGACGAGCACTCAAGAGGCACATGCGAGCCTCATGTCAATCATTGAGTAGTTTCATAGTTGGAGGAGTATTCCCATTCCATCCATTCTTCTAACAACACTCACGAAGTTAGACTCTACCGTGATAGCTTTTCTCGACTTGGTCGCATCTCACATTCTGCTTGGTAGATATTGTTCTCTATCGGCGAGGGTTATTCAAGAGAGTACTCGGTTAGAGGGCGAGTTTCGAGCTATGGTGGATCGGTTTATCTTCTTGAAAGAGATGGGCCTCACTCTCGTTTATGATAGAACACAATCTCTTGACACGAGTGAGGACATCGATGATTTGGTTGTTAAAAAAATATCCTCTCTTAACGATCTGGACTAGCAATCTACATTAGGTACGTCAACTCTCTCTTCCACTGATTGTGCTTTGAGTTCAAATTCTTGTGTTGAGAATGAACATGTGGAAGAGGGTGTTGAAATGGTGTATGGCATGGGAGAGAATTTATTGGAGGATTCGATTGTGCTTGGCAGACTTGATAGTGTTCTGGAGGATGATTTTGAGGAAGAGGATGAAGTAGCTCGTGATGTTGTGGATAGTATTGAAGATGATTCCGAGTCGTTATGTGATATCGTTTACCCAAAGTTATCGTTGAAGGATGATTCGACTCGTGATGGTGAGTATGAAGTGGTTCACATGTCCTTTGGGTCGTCGTTTCGTGTTATTGAGAAGTGTGACCATTGGAAGGAGCCTAGCGTATTTACGCCCGTGCTCCCGATGCTTGAGATCGACGAGTACACATCCGAGATAATGCAAATGATGGCCAGGATTGATTTGACGTGATCCACGAACATTTCCGTATACCCAGAGGTCGGTTATGTGGCCTTGGTTCGTAAAGACTTTTCTCCACTTGGTGGTTATTGATATCCGCACTCGGTTTCACAAGAACACGACCACGAGAGTTTATTTCGCCCGCCTTTATGCCGTTCTACTGTCTCGACTACTATTGAAAAGTACGAAGGCATGGCATGATCGACATTTCTTCTTAGAGCCCGGTTGATTTTTGTTGGGGATGTTGAGCTCAAGACGTTAAAATGAGCGCTTCGTGGGAACAACCCATGGTTCTTGCTTTTTCTTCCGTTTCACATTCTATCAAAATAAATAGTCCCACATATCACACGACACATGATAATTTCGAAGAAATAAACAGGACTCGAAGCCGAGATGTTATTGAAGTTGTTGAAATATGGCGATGTGTTGAAAATTTGGGATATGTGTGGAAATTAATGAGAAGAGCTCTTGCCGACCTGCTTGACAATACCGACTTGTTAGAGCCAAGCCAAAGAAAGAAGAAAACAATTTTCGAGTGAAAATGGGTCGAAAATCGAGCGATAATGGTGCTCAAAAGTTAGGATGAGAATTGGGTGTGAAATAGCTAAAAATTTGGCTGAGAATGAATTTTGGAGTTAAAAATGCCTAAGGACCCTGTCAGCTCACGCCTTGGCGAAAGCGCGCTTGCGGGCGAACCCGCATTCATGCCCAGCGAAGCACCGTTTGCACGCAACAACCCGTCTGCGCCCAGTGAAGCCGCACTCACGGCGACCCAGCGACCCAGCGTTCGCGCGCCACGAAACACCCTGCACTGGCGAGATGCGCGCGTGTCTCCTTTCGGCGCCAGAACACTCGCGACCCGAAGCCACGTTTGCGACCCGCAAGCCCAAGCTCACGCGCGAAGCTCTATCCACGACCAGCGAGCTCAGAGTCGCGCGCCAACTCCAAGTTGCGACCGGCTAACGCACAGGCTCCCTAGGCGCTGGTCATCTTCCCCAGCCAGCTCAGGCCACCAGGCATTGCTGCGCGCCACAGCACGCAGCCACCGGCTGCCACTTTTTCTGGACAACTTTCTTCGATATTGGAAATTTTTATATCGACGTGAAGCTCTCCTCAATGCTGACAACATATCCAAATTTTCGACGAAAACTCCGACGAGAAGACCTCCGATTTTCCGGTCAAACATTCTAGAACTACAATTTTCACTGGTCTTCTTTTCCAAATTCTCGATGACTCACGGGGACCCAAAAAAATCCGAGGACATCTCCAGAATCCTCTCG